TATTTAAACTGTAATGCTTGTAGTTAGGAGAAAAGTAAGGTTACTCCTGCAAACAGACTAAATGGGTTTAAGACCAAAGAACCTTTAGAGGTTGTGTTTGCTGACATAATTGGTCCTAAGAAACCTAGTTTAGGAGGTGCCTGCTATATTTTGAGTATTATGGACCATTGCTCATGATACAGTTTCTGCTATCTTATGAAAAACAAAACAGAAACATTCCAACATTTCTTTAACTGGCTAAGGTTTGCTGAGAGAAAAATGAAAGGTAAAGTAATTACTTTAGTCACTGATAATGGGACTGAGTTTGTTAACAAAAGATTCCAAACTATGTTGAAATTGGCTGGTGTCGAGCATAAATGTTCTGCACCTTACAGACCACAACATAACTCGTTTATAGAATGAAGAGGGCAAACATTACAAGCCATGGCTCGCACTATGTTATCTGATTCGGGTTTACCTGAAACACTGTGGGGTGAGGCCATAATGTGTAGTAATCATGTTTTAAACAATGTAGTTAATACAACAAGTGGAGAATTGCCATTCACTCATTGGCATGGCAGAAAACCAAATTTAAGTTACCTACACACATTTGGAGCTCCAGCATGGGTGCATATTCCCTCACAAGTAAGACTGAAAGGGAAACATAGAGCTAAGAAGTTATTTTTTGTGGGTTACGAGGCCAACCATAGATCATTTAGATTTTGGGATCAAGGCACAGCTCATGTTTATTGTAGTGCTAGTGCAAAATTTCTCGAGCACATTGGGTGGGATAAACTGGAACAGGAATCCAGAAATGATATTATTATTGACACCCAAATAGTCCCTAAAGATGAAATAAATAAACCACGAATAGCCATTAAAAAGGAAGAACAGGCACAGGAGGAAGTAGTAGAACAGGCACAGGAAGAAGTAGAAGAACAGGAGCAGGTGGCACAGGAAAGTTCACCAGTAAGCCCTGTGTTGCTAAGACATTCAACCCGAGTAACATGACCACCTGATAGATATCAGGCTAGTGTTGTATGCCAAGTGAATACAGTTCCAAGTAACTATAGTGAACTAAAAATGTATCGTGCTAAGGATCAGGCTGCTTGGCAGAAAGCAATGGATAAGGAACTGGAATCATTAAAAAAAACTGGATGTATACAAAAATATTAAGTTACCACCAGGTAAACATGCCATAGGATATAAATGGATTTATAAACTAAAGACAGGTGTAGATGGGACTGTTACCCATAAAGCCAGGTTAGTAGCACAAGGGTTCAATCAGACAGCAAATGACTACGATGAGGTGTTTGCACCTAGTCTGAAGGCTACTACATTAAGGGCAGCATTAGTGTGGGCAGCTAAAGAAAAATGCATTATAAATCATTTGGATGTAGAGATGGCATATCTGCATGCACCGTTGCAACACACTATATATATAAAGAAACCTTTAGGTCTCAAAAAACTGATAAAACAACTGATTGCTGGAAATTGAAAAAGAGTCTTTATGGCTTGAAGCAATCAGGATATGAGTGGAACCAATGTATAGTTAAAGAATTAACTAAGATAGGCTTTGTAGCTGGCATGGCTGATCTATGATTGTTTAAAAAAGAAAGTAATGGTATAATTTCATTATTGCTATTGTTTACTGATGACATAGCATTAATCACCAAAACTGAACAAGAAGCTACTAAAATAATATCACTGTTAGAGAAGAAATTTAAGATAAAACAGTTAGGAGAAATCAAACAATATCTTGGTTTAAAGATAGATAGAACTAGGGGAGGATACAAGATCTCACAGGCAGATAAAATTAACCAATTACTAAAATTTTTTAAAATGGAACTTTGTAAGCCGGCTAAAACACCAAGGAGTCAGGAGTTTAGCTATAATGATGTTCAAAGTCCTGTTTTTGATAAGAACATTTATCAGTCCTTGATTAGTAGTTTATCTTATCTCAGTAATTGGTCAAGGCCAGATATTGCATACAGTGTTAATCAATTAGCGAGATTTTACGCTGAGCCAACTGAAAGGCACTGGCAAGCTGCTAAACGTGTGTTAAGATATCTGAAACAAACAATGCATTATGCATTGTATTTGGAGCCTAAAGATGAACTGAATTTAACTGCATATGCTGATGCAAGTTTTGCTACAGACATAAATACACGAAAATCTACATCGGGTACTGTAGTATTATCAGGAAAAGCATTGATTGGATGGAGATCTATTAGACAGAAACATCTAAGTTTGTCAACAATGGAGGCTGAATTCTCATGCTTATCTTTATTATGTACAGATTTAGTTTTGTATGAGCAATTATTAATTGATATGGGAATTGATGTAACAGATTCTATTGTTATTTATGAAGATAACCAATCAGCAATACAGATGGCTTCAAATATTGCTGTTAAGACAAGAACGAAACACACAGATTTAAGATATTTAAATGTGAGACAATGTGTGCAAACTAAGATGATTAAGCTGGAATACTGTATGTCAGAAAACAATAAAGCAGATCATTTTACAAAGGCCCAAGGCTCTATAAAGCATAAGGCTAGCTGTGAAGATTATAGACTTAGAATGTAAGGTGTATATATTGTCCTACCCAAAAGGGGAGAATGTTGGGAATGTAAGTCACCTAACAGCTATTTGGGTTGAACAATATATAAACCAGGATAGACATTTTAATACTGCATCTTTAAGAGAATCCTAAAAATGTAATTGGGTGTGGTTTCTCAAACAGCCATAAGGTGGAGCCAGAAACCTGGGCTGTTTTAGTCTTAGTCTCAGAAGAAGTCTCAGTGAGTCTCTGTTTTCTTTCTGTTGGAGAGTATTGCTGTTCCTCATAATTGACTCATGGATAATTGATTCATGGATTTGATGTAAGTCTGATACTGAATTGTTTATGACACTGAACTTTATTATTGGATTATCCCTGGACTGACTGACCTACCTGTGAATAACTTTGGACTGTGTTTGAACTTTGCTTAAACCTTTAATGAAAGTAAAAAAACCTAAATTTACTGTACAGTGCATCTGTGTGCTGTGTGTGTATTATTCAAACACTACTCTCAAATACGTCTCCATGTATGCGCCATTCTCCTAATGGGGAATTACCTCAACACATATCCCATCTGTCAGCTACAGAAAAACAATACAGATTCACTTTGGGTTTTTGTTTCAACAGTTGCATTTCCTGAATCAGCTATGAATTGCCATAACCCATGGAATCAATGATCATGTGATTAGTGCCACAATTATTCCAAGATTTGGGAAATGGGGGGAGGGGCAGTCCCTTAGGGAAGTAAAGGGAGTTTAGGCATACAATGTTTTGGCATACATTTTATTCTGGTTCTTTTCTACTTCTAACCTGTCTCTGATATATTCTTTTGGCATCATCAGATATGGAAATGAAAGCCAATTTTATTGATGAGACAATAATTCACCTTATTCATTCAGACAATTGAACTGACAAGGCATATTAAAACTAGAGATTGAAAACTTTGAGCTTCTGGAGCAAACATAGAACATATTGTTCCACTTCATCTTATCATTGACAATCATTTGGAAACCTTACATCTTATTCTTCACATGTTCCCATTGTCCTGGAAATGGAATGGTGATAGACTCTTCATCTTGACATTTACAATGATATCTTTCTCTCTCTCTCCCTCCCTCTCTCTCTCTCTCCTCTCTTCCTCCCTTCCTCCCTCCAACTGTTGAGTCTTGGTAATTGTTTGGACTAATCCTGCAGTTTTCTGGGCAAGGTTTTTTGAAAGTGATTTGCCATCACATCTTCCTGGGGCTGAGAAAGAATGGCTAGCCCAAAGTCACCCACTAGCTTTGGGTCTTCATGACTACAACTCATGATTTCCCAGTTTCTGACTCGTGCCTTAACGCCTACAGCAGACTGGCTCTCTGATAATTCGATTCACTTCCAGGACTCACTGTTTGTAGGCATCCAGTCCCCATCCCCTATTATTACAACTCAACAGGCTATTTATCCTGTCACTGCATTTTATGACTAGCTGACATTCGAGAGCGTATACAGGAGGAAAAGCAGATTTTTTCCCAACTAATAAATACTACACTTATTTGGATAAATGGACTAGATATTAATATACAGAACACTTATTCCATTCTCATGGACCAATGTATTTCAAAATGTAACCTATAATAAATATATATTTTCTTGAATTTCTCATACCTTACAAAACTATTATATTTTTATTACTATTATCCATATATTCTATGCCAGATGCTAAACAAATAAATGTCTTTGCTGATGTCTTTGCAAAGGAGAAGGTACATTTCTTGCTCCACACATTACTCCTATGAACACATTCTTCTTGATTTTACAACCTTGATAAACATTAATATCCAATGTCTACAAGAGAGTTGATTTATTTAAAGAACTTTATTGAAGACAACCTACAAAGGAGATTTATTATGCTCTCTTCCTTTCTCCTACCTTATCATGTGAAAAAAATAATAGCTTTTTAAGACTTGATCATTATTTTAGACTTTTGAAGTTGCAATTCTTTCCACTAATTCTGATATTCTGGAAGAACTACAAAAGGCAAGTATTGTTTACTAAATTTGTCTTGACAGAGACTTACAGTTTGATTCACATGACAGAGGAATATGAATATTTAATGGTCCTTAATACACATTATGGAGAATTTGAATACACAGTGATGGCCTTTAGTTTATGTAATTGCCCCTTGGTATTTAAGACATTCATTAATGAAATATTTCCTGACATTCTGGGCATCATTCCTTTCTATTGAAATTGACTGCCAGGAATTTAACACATGAAAACTTGGTACCATGACTTTCCCAGATGACCAAAAAATCCTCATTCTTTATAATAACCACACCCTCCACTCAACTTTCTATGAAATGTTGTGAGATAATGATAAAGACAAGAGATTAAAATGCTGGTCAAAAGATCATTTTTATACCCCTCTCAGTTGTCCAAGACAATGGAGACAATGCTAGCCAACTCATGAGAATTGCTGGCAGCCAGAGGTTAGGATCCTCATGAGAGAACACCAGCTCATTAGCCTTGAAAATGAACAAGTAGGCTGTGTGGAAGTGCCCTCTGATACGGTGATGGCAAGAGTGTGGGAATGGAACAGGGATTTATCCAGACTCTTTTGACTATATATCCTTCCAAATCTTCCTTAGGGGCACAAGAGGCTAGATGAAGCACATGGGGAGGTAGAGTTCCGATTTTCATTTTCCTTTCTCTTTGGCAGGGAACTATTCGACTGCAATGTGACTGATTATTAATGTTTAGTGGCTAACTGGTAATGGAAATGCTGTGGAGATATGTTTATTGGTATGGAAGAGAGAATGAAGGAGAAGGCTATATTTGTCTTGAGCTTAAGAATTAGGATGAGACAAATGGGAAAACTACACTGTTCATAAGCTCTGCATTTTGAAATTTGCTAAACAAACAAACCATGTTATTATGATATCAAACATTATAGATGTGCCAAAAACAAATCAGTTGAGATTTATGAGATCACAGAGGATTGGAACTCCTTTTGAAGGGCTGAAGACCACTTATACAGGTATCCTTCAAATTTCACTTACTTTGTGGCTCTATATGCATTAGGAGAAAATATACCTCAAAATGCATATAGGAGAGTCACCAGATATTGAAACATATTATACTTATATTGGTGAAAGATACACTGAGATGGAGTGAGTATAAAGTAAGATTGAAAATGAGAAAGGTATTTATCTATCAGAAAAATGTATGTTCAGTTCCTCCTAGAACCCCACGTGATGTAATCAAAAGAGCAGGGTTTGCTATTTCTAGGATTTAGATGCTTCTTCAATTGAGAAAATTGTTTGGTCATGGAGTCTGCCTCTAATACATTTTTGTTAAAATTTAATTTTGTTTTCTTAAGTGTATTGTTGCCTTTTTTAATAAGAAAAAAAAAAATCTTAAAAGTGGAAAATGCCAATTGATACTATTCCAAAATTATAACAGGGCATCAAAATGTAATAAAAGTTATGCTGTTCATTTAAATGAATATACTAAAAATAGTTTACCAGCTTTCCAGGATCCAATCTGGGTCAGGCACCAGGACAAGTGGTTTAATCTTCTGAGCTTTCGAACTGATGCTGGAGCCCATCCTCAGGAACTTCCCTCTCACCCATATTGGATTCAGCAACGTTATCCTGGGACACACATATTTCCCTTCATTTGTTTACCAGCTTTCATTATTGTTATTATTTTTGACCCTAAATATTCATGTTCGTTGAAGCTTACCTAACAAACATTTAAAAGTTATTAACTTGCAGCATTTAAAAAAAATACTTTCTTTCAAAAGAGCTAATTATATTTATATCTATTATTAAATTTACATAACATAGAAATTTAATAATAAATAAAATAGCTAATACATCATATCCAAAAAATTAAAACATACATGTACAGACACAGATATTTATACATTTATACATTCCTATAGTTCTCACTTCCGATTTATGTCTTTCCTATTCATTTCTCTCTCTCTCTCTCTCTGTCTCTTCCTGTGTATAACTAGGCTAGCTTTTATATAAAATTTCCTTCCTCAGCTACATTTTATGGTAAATACTGGACTTTATCTTGTCCGTATAGTAGATAAGATCCCAAATGTAACACTTCAGCCCTCAAGTCTGGCATACTATCTGACAGTATCAGAAGAAGTAAGAGCTGTCTTGTTATTTCCACTGCAGAGACAGTTCAGTTGTGTTCATTCTCTTTCATGATACCATTTTGATTGCTGCAAAATTGCTTTAAAATGGCACCAATTTATATTGTGCCAGAAGAAGAAATGTTTCAGGAAAAGGAAATTTCATCCATTAGACTCTATATTTCTTTTAGCCTTTCAGACAATGCAATGGCAGAGCTTCCAGTAAACACTACTGCACAATTATGCTTTACAATTGTTATTTTATGAATTTTTGTTTTAAACAAAGCACCATTTTTGCTGTCAGCTTGTGGATGTTTCTTTCTTTTCAAACTATATTTGGTGTCAGCTTTGGAAGCCATATTCCACACTGCCTGAGGAATTGGGAGGGGGGTGATTTCAATTGAGTAATTCTAAGTCGACAAAATAAAATTCTTTTCTTAGTTCAAGGTTATTAAGTATGGCGCAGCAGACAATCTTACACGAGACAGATCGTGATTGGTTCATGTGATGTGATGATGGAACAAAAGGGGATGGGTTGTAGTTTGGGACATTGTGGGAAGTCCAGGAAACTTTAGTTTTGAGATTTCACAGATGTGCCAGGTGCTATTCTAATAAAAGTACTTTTGAGATTATGCTTGTCTCGGAGTTACTGATTAGAATGGAGGTTTGCTGGAACACTGACATTTGGCTTCCAAGAACCTGTATGATCTTCAAAGGCAGGGCATAGTTTCTGATTTCTTAAAATATTTTTGGTTGTTATAAAAGTATGATTCTCTGAGGGTTGATTTCTATTAGCAACAGTTGGCCAATTTCTTTCATGCATTGTTAATATGTGATGAAACAATATGTTAATATGTTATGTCCACCTCATTGTAGTCTGAAATTTACATTGGTAGCTCAAAAACATACAACTGGAAACATAAACAAAGGAAGTAATCAACATTGAGCTATGCTCTCGTATCTTCTTTTTCATTGCATAAATCTTGGCAACTATAGTTTATTCAATCAACTATAGTTTACAAGAATTCAAAGAAAACCAGACAAAATATAGTTCAGTCAACACACTGTAGATATACAAATCAATTTAATAATTGCTTGTTAAAAATCTTTTGTTCACGATTATTTATATTGGTTTGGCCAGTTGTCCAGCATATCAACTAATTTGCTAAGACTATCTTGTCAGAGTTTACATACCAACCTGTATAGCATTGCCAAGTGTTGTCTTTACAACTGGGCATATGGTGATGTAAAAATGGAGCCTGTGTGTGAATATGTATCTACAGCCGTACTTTAGACCTAGTCATGTGCCAACAGATGGCTGCATAAACTAAAGTTGCCATGGGAACTAAATTATGTTGCTCTTCTTGAACAGGCAACAAATCTCAAAGCTAAGAATGTCAAATGCTAGGGAAAAAAAGATGAAGGAGAATTGATGGTTGTATTTTAATACAAATGCTCAAAACCAATCTGACATGCATTTTTAAAAAATATGTTGAAAAAAAATAACAACAAAAAGCATGTTCTGTTCAAATATAATTCTACAGTTTGAATGAGCAGTAGAGGCATGACAGGATATTAGCCTGTATGCAGAACCTCTGAAAATCCAGGTGATTATAACATTTGCTAAGTAATGTTGGGCTAATTGGTTTCTGGCCCTACCTATTTTGGAGGGTCATAAATTGAAATTAAGTGGGTTACTGTTTTTCACACACACACACACACACACATACACACACACAGAGAGAGAGAGAGAGAGAGAGAGAGAGAGAGAGAACAGATAAGAGACAGAAGGATCTAAAGAGTAAAAGAATAAATAACAAAAAACAACTTAGAGGCATAACAACTGTTGGCAAAACTTGAAGTCTTAAAAAAAGATTGAACATAACTGTTTATAATAAGCATCAGTAATAAAAATGTATTGAATTAGCAACAAAAAATATCAATAATGAAACTTAGCTCAGTGTGGTACACTATTCTTTCCCTGGATTAAGTTTTATGCATGAGAGAATTCTTTCTGAGATCAGTAGAAAATAAGAAAACTAACTTCAGACAGTATGTGGAATTTTCAGTTGATGCCCAATATCTACTAACATGTTGAAACTAGACAAAATAAATAAGTTGTTTACTGAAATATTTATAGAATCTCTTCTTAAACTCAGAAGTCCATATACTTGGAAAAAGTTATTTACTTGTTAAACCTAATTAACTTACACACACACATATACACACACACACACATTCAATTTCTAAAGCAATGTATCTTCACACTGACTACTCTGGGCCCACTATTTCCTTAAATCCCTAATTACATCCTGATTCCTCATATCATTCTCATACCTTCATAAAATTCATTCTACATTATAATGTTCATTTCTCTTCTCTGTTCCATTATCCAAGTCATAATTTAATGGGGATGGGAGAGAAGAACTGAAGCAAAATTACAGCAACAATCAGGGTAACCCATCCTTTATTCTTCTAATATTTTCCTGATAATCTATAGAAAGAAAGCTTGCTATGTTCATGCTCATTTCTTCATTTTCTTTCCTTCCCTCATTTTCCATGACAGTAGAATAAGTCTATATAGTGTTGCATCTTACTAATAATGACAAATAAGATATTTAATTATTGTATTACATTTAGAGAAAAAGCAGGGTGGAGATTGAGTTTGACTTGAGTACATATATTGATTTTTTAGAAATCTTCCAATAATTCAAAATAATGTCATGTATAGGGCATATTGTTGGGATTGTAAAGCTGCACAGTAAATCTCCAGGCATCTAAAAATTGATGTTTCACCCAATTCATTTAGATTATTTTCCTGTGTTTTATTTTCACCTTTTGAAATGCTACTTTTGAAACTAATGACTTAGAAGCAACTACCAGAATACTATTAGGTTTCCTATTAAAGCTGTAGTTTGGAACTGGAATATACATGATACCAACTTCTTACATCAGCTGATGCCTTTTTGTGGTTGCTTTCTATATAGCAATTTATCAAAAGAAAGTCATAAAATAGCCTAAAAGTAATGGCAGCAACCAACATGAATATTCTGCACATCTCACCTTTAAAATGGACTTGAATCACAGAGAACAATATTAGGAGCCTTGAATCATAAGAAACAAGCATATCAGAAGATTTCTCCCTGGGCAGATATTTCCAAAACTCTAAAGAACAAGAGAGGGATGCTGCAAATGTCTCTCTTGTCTTGCATTCTAAAGGAGATGCCCTGGATGGCTGTAAAGGATGATTGAATAAATTCAAAGAAGATAGGTTTGCCAAGAGATATTAATCTTGAAGAGGCAATATTACCTTCTGGATTGGAAAAGCATGGTTCAAAA